AGTCAGGCCTGTGTTTCTTGTAAAAACGCTCGGACAGGTCGATTTTTATTTTTTCCTGCGGTTTTTATGGTAGTAGATTCATTTATACAGGGTGGCTCAAAAATAAGTTACGATGATCAACTTAATTTTTCCAGATGGAAACTTATTTTTTATTCAATTTGTGAATTTGGCGTAAAATTCTAAGAATGTTTCATGTATCGCATCATTGAAATTGAACAAAAAAATTATTTGAAAAAATGAAAATGGTGGTCGTAACTCTTTTTTGGGTCACAAATATAGGTCGATTTTCAATTTTAAATGGCGATTGTTAAGATCAGTGTTTTCCTGGGAGATGGATTGGAAGACGAGGACCAATAGAGTGGCCCACAAGATCTCCAGATCTCACACCTCTAGATTTTTTCATGTGGGGTTATTTGAAAATCGAAGGTTTATGTAAATAAACCGCGAAATCTAAAGGAGTTAAAGACCGAATCAGAGGCGAAGTTAATAAAATTACTCCAGAAGTGATCCGTAATGTGTAAGGAGAATGTATCCGTCGATTTGCTCATTGCCAACAGATCGGTGGTTTGCATTTCGAGCATCTAATTAAGCTGTAAGATTATCGCTATTTAAAATTAAAAATCTGCCTATTTGTGATCCAAAAAAGGGTTACGACCATCATTTTCATTTTTTCAAACCATTTTTTTGTTCAATTTCAATGATGCGATACATGAAACATTCTTAGAATTTTACACCGAATTCAAAAATCAAATAAAATGAGTTGATCATCGTAACCTATTTTTGAGCCACCCTGTATAGATGAATCAACTACCATATAAACCGCAGGAAAAAATTAAAATCGACCTGTCCGAGCGTTTTCCCAAGAAACACAGGTCTGACTTTTAAATGGATTTGTTCCATAATATTGCCGCTCACTGTATAATAATAATAAATCTGTTTGCACCGTAATCAGCCATGATTTTAATATTACTCAACTGGACCAAAGATATTTTTTTGGTGATTTTCTTGTCAACCTGGTGAGTAAGTAACCTCACTTTTACTAATTTCTTAATTTATATTTAACATTTTTCAATTTTCAACTTCATGATTATGTCTTTCTCAATAGCTAAAAGTTGGTTAACTTTCACTAATGTTCAAATTTAAATTCAACTTTTTTCAAAAAATAAATTTCAAAAAAATGTTTCAATATTTCCTGAGGTCTTTTTCAATGGCTAACAGCTGATTGTTTACTAACAGGAGAAATTGAATACAATTTTTTCTGTGACGGGAAAAAATTTTGGCATTTCATCTCTGTTGGCAGGTTATAAAATGTCACTTTTCATAAATTACTTTTTTCCCGGATATATATCACATATATATACTCTGTTAATGGCTTTGTTGTGCTATAGTTCCGAAGAATGAGTCAATAATACCGTCTCCGAGAAAGAACTGCAAGTCCTTTTATCTTCCATTCGACTTCGCGGTTTCGTATATTACTAAACAACTACTGAATTCGCTATTTTTCAAAATCAAATCACAGAATTGAACTGACAGAAGTGACATCAGATATTTGATTACTTCAAAAGAATGATAAAGATGCCTATAAAACGCAGGTGTCCCTACTGTTAAAAACTTGAAATTTCACCTCGATAATTTTCAGATTTCGAAATAATGTAATATCTTCTCAATATTGATTCGTCCTTCCTTCTGTCACAGAAAAAAATAGTGTATTATACAGGGGAAAAATATTAGATTTTAGCTCACGGTTTTTTGTCTCCCTCCGCTACGCGTCGGGAGACAACACAACCTGGAGCTAAAATCTACTACTTTTTTCCCTTGTATAATAAATAACTATTATTTTGCACGAAATACAACTTTTTGTACTATTTTGGTATATCTACACGTGCACACAGCTAAGTAACCCTCACAAAAATAGAGTGCTTCATCGGTTCTCGTAGATTATCATAATCCACGCATTTCTAGAACAAGGCCTGCCTGATGTGGAGGAGTCTTGGCCATGTGAGTTATTGCTTTAGGCAGCGTGTAACTCGATTCTTGATTTGTCACACTACTTAAGTAGGTATATTTACATCAATTAGGTATTTTTTGTTTAATTGACTCAGCCGTTTTACTTGATGGAAATCCATGGCAAATGTAAAAACTTCACAAACGATAAGATTTTCACAAAACTCTCAAACACAGGACATGTTTCGCTAACGCAGTAGCCTCGTCAGGTGATATTCGCGAGATTCACGAAGTGGGCGACATCTAGGTTACATAATACGAACTTCAAACTGGGGGGAAACAAACTGTTGTCTATGGATAAAGTGCATAGACTACATTGCATTCAGCTTGCTGTAGCTGTAGTCAAACTTGTCAATAACATAAAGTGTTGGCACTGTTGGTAGTGATGATGGTTGAGTTGGTTAATTTTTTTACATTATTACATTTTTATTAGTTAAGTGAACAGTGAACGGGTGAAGAATTGGAGATAGTTCAAACAATTCAAACTAATTATGAGGAGCAAATCAATTAACATATAAAAGAACAGCTACAACATGTTTACAATACCCAGATTTTCTGCTATGCATGAACAAATACAAATCCATTGTTCTACAGGAGTTCCTCTGGACCCCAACTTCAATTTTACTTCATGTGGGGAAGATTTCATCGCCGAAGTTTGTAGACAAAGTGCAAAAATGTGCTTTTTGTTGAAGTCTTCTGCCTCACACAAAATCACATGATTAGCACGGAGAACTGATTCTCCTTCCACTACTGGTCGGCTTTTTCCATCTAAATAGAGCAAAATATCTGCCAAAACAACATCTACAACAGGCATTATTAGCGTTTTCGATCGAATATTGACAATTAATGTCAAGAAATTCGAAAACTTATCACTCTTATCAGTACACAGTACACAAGCTAATGGCACTAATGGGATTGAGTGAGGATTGAGTTTGTTTTCCCCCAGTTTTGACGTGGCTTTGACATGGAACGATGAAAACCGAGTGCCACCTGGTAACATTGATTCCCGCGAATACTGGTACAATGAACAGAACTTTCTTGAAACCACCCTGTAATTCATGATTAATTGGGTGAAACACATCAATCATTATAATATATTCATCATTCTGTCCTCAACACTGTTCCAAGAATTTACTATGGTTTCATAGTTATTGATTGAGGAACTTAATCAAGCAACATAATTTGTTTCTCGAAATCTAAGGGATATAAGGTTTTGAAGTACAAACTGAAATGGGTGATAGATCTCATCATTTCAATTAAAAAAGTTTATTAATTGAAACGGATATGTTCATTTCAGTTCAGTTGAAGGTGATGCATTTTTCGAGCAAAATTGATAAATGTATTCCATGAATTGGGAATAATCGAAATTCAATCAGTGGTGTAGAAAATATGGGAGGAAAAGTTGCCACAACTCCCTGTAGGGCACGACTGGATAAAATGTCCGGAACGGCTTTTTGGTCTAAAAATGACCATTTCAAAGATGAAACCATATACTGATTTGAATGCATTATATTCAATTATTCTTGAGATATTGCGATAAAACTATTTTTATTTCTTAACTTTACGCCCTGTATCTCGAGAACTGAACACTTGAAGATCGTATGTCCCTATCTCAGTGATTATGAAATCACGAGGGCTATCACCTGTCAGGCGTTGTCGGTCGAATTTTGCAACACCCTGTATATAATATGAAAAAAATTTCATGTTGTTATTATTATTACATTGTCGTTATTATTATTTTTGGTATAACTAATGGCCGAGTCAATTCACCCTCTGTTCCAAAATTATCATTTACTCATCAGAAATCTGAAAAGACAGCAGTGACAATGTAGTTGAAAAACTTGTTTATGTTTGATGGTTTTATTAAATGACATTGTGACATCTATCTGCAACAAAACTATTTAGCATTTTGTTTATTTTTGTTGACAAAAACTGAAGTTTTTTTATAAAAACATACTAGTGACCGATCTTCAAACCTTCCAAAGGCATCATTTTGACAATAACAGAAATACTGGACTTGCATCACCTATGTGAAGTTGGCAACGACTTTTTAGAAAAACTGAATTTTTATCGGAGTTCTGGGTAGATACGATAGAGTTCTGGAGTTCCTGACAGAAAATTTCAATAGTTCTGCTTGTAGAAAATAACCGAAAAACAAAGTAGGTGCTAACTTCACGCGGCACCGCTTTTTTCACAGAAAAGAGTTCTGATGAGAAATTTCGACGTATTTGAAAGAGTTCTGGAGTTCCTGATATATTTCAAGGATAGTTCCGGCGAAATAACAAAGTTATTCCTATTTTTAATAGGGACATTCATACGCTCATGTATAGCATCCACCACTTTCTAAAGTTCTGATCGGAGTTCTGGGTAGCACCAGTCGAGTTCTACATACTATCTTCATAAATTTTTTCTCTAAAATCAAAACTTTAGTTTTTATAAGCGGAAAAGAGGGACCGGTTGAAGAAAAATGTTTTGTGAACGATTTGGAATGAAGAGACAATAGAGGAATACTGATCGGAGTTCTGGGTAGCACCAGTCGAGTTCCAAATTACTTTATCTTACTTTATCATCAGAACGGTGAAGCTGTTTATGGAGAAAGATACTTTATTTTGAATAATATAATAAAATACGCACTGTCGTAGGTCATAAAATGAAACAAATGGTATTTAGAACATATTATACAATTTAATTTGTACTAATTTGTCTCAGAGTTCATATTCCCAGTTATTGTCAGTGTATCATAGTCAAAGACCATAATAAATAAAACGCTAAAATAAAATATCACATTGCTGAAATGAATGAAATGAAGAAAAAATTCTGAATGATACAAAGCTTTTCCCTTTTTCGAAAGGTCATATTACATGCAAAAATTAGAAAAAGCCTGTTTACCTCCGCCTTTCTCCTTTCCAAATCGTTCACAAAACATTTTTTTTCAATCGGTCTCTCGTTTCCGCTTATAAAAACTTAAGTTTTGGTTTTAGAGAAAAAATGTATCAAGATAGTATGTAGAACTCGACTGGTGCTACCCAGAACTCCGATCCAAACTTTAGAAAGTGGTGGATGCTATACATGAGCGTATGAATGTCCCTATTAAAAATAGGAATAACTTTGTTATTTCGCCGGAACTATCGTTGAAATATATCAGGAACTCCAGAACTCTTTCAAATACGTCGTAATTTCTCATCAGAACTCTTTTCTGTGAAAAAAACGGCGCCGCGTGAAGTTAGCACCCACAATTTTGTTTTTCGGTTATTTTCTACAATTAACCAGAACTATTGAAATTTTTTGTCAGGAACTTCAGAACTCTATCGTATCTACCCAGAACTCCGATAAAAATTCAGTTTTTTTAAAAAGTCGGTGCCAACTTCACATAAGTACTTGCATCTGCTCTATTCTAACAAGTCTAATTATTTTCAAATCCAATTGAATTTTTGATAATGTTTTAGAAACCAAAGGCACCACAAATAGGTTTGTCCAGAAACCTGTTCAAAGGATCCAGCAGGCTCAAGTGGACAATCCAAAAATTTTAGATATGACCGCTTTAAAAATGCAGCCAAAGCTTTTATGAACTGAAGAGGTAGCTCTTTCAAATTTGACGAAACATTTTGGCTGGGACCAGAATTTATAACTTGTACTTATCAACACAAACATAGGTATATTATATTTTTCTATTTGTACATAAGGTTTAAAACAAAATAATAAAGCTATTTTTATTACTATCTATTTCATCATACACTGAAAGATTCTCCACACCCACAAGTTCCCTTTATATTAGGATTATTGAATACAAATTCTGAACTGAGTTTGTTCTCTACATAATCCATTTCCGTACCTAATAGCGTTAGCTGTGCTTTTTTGTCAATGAACACTCTTATTCCATCTTGAACCACTTCTTCATCCATTTTATCTGAAACACCAGCAATAATCAGTTACATAATAACAAATACCAATGAAATAAGGGTGTATTTTGCACATCCTAGGCAAAGAACTTGCCATTTATGAAATTATTTTGATTTCGTATTGTATGCAGCTATGGCCGGAATTGCAATGTTTTGTGAAAAAATATTGTTATATTTCAAGTCAGGTTTTGCACTGAATTCACAATAGTAGGTATATTCTTTAGCAGCACGGAATGATAGTCATTTCCCATGAGATTTTCTCTTAAGTAATACTCGTCTATTAGAAAGAGCTCTCATTGCTTGAAATTTGACATTTCATGGGAGATGGGATTTTGTGAAATGATAACGCAATGAAGACATTTGTGATATCACATATGGAAATTAAATTGATGACATAGGAAGTAGCTCATTGATTTATCGAACACCGTAATACAAGAGCAAATTTGTGTTATGACCGTAGAAGAAATAATTTGTATTGCGAGAACCGTCACAGATAGCTGAAGGGAATTATCAGGGTCTACAGGGTGTTCCATTTGAGATGACTGCTGAGTAGCTACAACTTCTGATATATGAATAGAGCATGTTTCATTATGAACGTCCACAAAATTTCAAAATGATCTGTAGCTTGGTTCTCCAGATATTTTTTTTTATTTCACATAATCAGATCCACAAAACAGAGAGCTTGCACAGGATCCCATAATCCATTGATGTATCAAACTGTTTTTAAAAGTAATACATTGACTTAATAAGACATTGAATGATTGCTCTAGAACTTAGTACATGACAATAGATAAGCACATAAAAAGAAAAATATGTCACGAAATAATACACATAAAACACATGCCTATTACAACACAAATTGTCAAATCAGGTCATTATTCAGAATGAAATCAAACAACTGCTTTCTGAACGATTTCATACTCTCATTATTTCTCAGTTCAGTTGGTAGGTTATTATAATGATTAACAGCTTTGCAAGTTATTGAGCTTTGAGTTCTGGTAGATTTGAATCTATTTGGCCGTAAATTGTTTGCCGCTCTTGTTGAGTAATTGTGGAACTGGTTATTAGGAATTAGTTTGATTGTTGTTTTCATGTAGTCAGTATTTATTTTATGAATAGTTTTCGATGATTCAAATTTGATAGCTTTAGCCAAATTTAGTAATCCGGTTTCCTTATATACTGTAAATCAGTTGCTACCAATGGATTCATGCAATATAATACTGTTATTGCCTTATTCTGTGCTATCTGCAAAGATTTTCTGTCACTGGCATTCAAAGCATTTCCCCACTCACTTAAGAGAAGTATAGTTTTTGTATTCTATTATTGAGTAGTTCTGAGACGAATATGAAGCATCGACTAAACATTGTCAGTTTATTGATAACACTAGAAAGGTGTTTCTTGAAATTTAGATTGTTATCTATAATTAAGCCCAGATATTTAACACACTCAACTTATTTGGTCTTCTATGTCATCTTGTTGCCCAGAGTAAAACACAACTGCATCATCCGCATAGAGGGTAATCTTTCCATGAAGATCAGAATAAACGAGGTCGTTTATGTATATCAAAAACAATAGGGGTCCTAGTATAGACCCTTGGGGAACCCCAATAGTTGTAAGTGACTTGTCACTGTCAGAATAAACGAGGTCGTTTATGTATATCAAAAACAATAGGGGTCCTAGTATAGACCCTTGGGGAACCCCAATAGTTGTAAGTGACTTGTCACTGAAGTTATCTCTAACACCCACATACTGATATCTTTCACTCAAATAATCAGTAAATAGATGGAGAGATTTGTCTCTAACACCGATACAGTTGAGTTTGGAGAGGAGCATTTGGTGATCGACAGTATCAAAAGCTTTTTTGAAGTTGATAACTAGACCCCTCACAAGTTTTTTGTTATCCCTTTTCTTATAAATGAATTCAAGTATGTCAATAACTGTTGTTTCAGTCCCTTTTTCATTTAAAAACCCATTTTGGTTTTCAGCAAGAAAGTTGATATTCTTGAGGTGATTTAAGAGTCTGTTATACATAATTCTTTCATATACCTTAGATAAAACTGGAAGTACAGATATTGGTCTGTAGTTATTTGGTTCAGTCTTGCTGCCGTCTTTAAAAATGGGAACCACTCTTGCTAGTTTTAATTCAGATGGAAAGCTACCAGATTATTATATTTGCATAGAAATAAACAAGAATTCAACTTCTCAAGTGAAAACACGAGACAAAATAATAACACTATTTTGCTCCAGCAGAACAATACAGCTCTCTATCAGTAGAGCTCTGAGCAGATAATGGTTTGCAACAATGTACTAGTTTTTTTTATATGTGTATCCCTGTTATAAACAGATATATTTCTGGGGGTAATAAAGAAAATCAATCAAGAAATAATTGCATTGGAATTAAATTCAATAACTATTCAAAAAATTCACTTATGTAGAGCTCTGAGCAGATAATGGTTTGCAACAGTGTACTAGTTTTTTTTATATGTGTATTCCTATTACAAACAGATATATTTCTGGGAGTAATAAAGACAATCAATCAAAAAATAATTGCATTGTATTTAAATTCAATAACTATTCAAAAAATTCACTTATGTGGAGCTCTGAGCAGATGATGGTTTGCAACAGTGTACTAGTTTGGGTTCATATGTCAAAATAATTAAATAATATGTTTCTCTTTAAAAACATATAGGTACAGCCATTTAAAAAAGTACATTTGCTGATGTTACATGTTACAGTTGAAATTTGTAAAAATAATAATCTATTCATAGTATCTGATGAGTCATTCCATTTACATTTTGTTTTTCAAAATCAGATAGTTAATAATGGCTCTATAGCTTGGGGCTTTTTTTGTCAGTTAGCAGTTAGCCTTTGTATCATGGGAGCAAAGGTTCATTTCCTCCCAGGTGTGTTTAATGCCATCTGCTACATCTAGAGCATCAAATTTAACATCCACCAGAAAATTTACAGTTTTAATTCCAGAAATGAGGGAATAAATGCCTAGGAACTATTGAATGAATTATTGAAAAAGGTATTTGGGTACTACTACTACCACTAGTCACTAGCTGTTCAATCTGCAGAATGCAGCATTCAATATTTTTGGTTTGATGACAAAGGTGGCAGATTACTGGAGGTATTCCTCATGCCAATTTAATTGTTTGATATCTGTTTATTTATACTTTATTCCAATGCATTCAGAAAAGCTTACCCTTCTGTTCAGCATAATCTAAGGTGTAAGACAAACCATTGCATCCTCTCTGGCGGACTCCAATTTTCAGACCTATCTGCAAATCAAATCAGCATTATAAATTTTATATCAAAGGTCCATGCTAGAGAACACACAACTTACAAATTCATTTCTGTCCTTCAAAATGTTTCGTATTCTATTTACAGCAGAAGGAGTCTGAAATAAATTAGATTTATGTTTAATAATTGTAGAGTTTATGTAACAGATCTTACCAACACCAATGCTGCTCTTGAAGGCAATAATTTTCGTTTGACGGCCCTCACTGTAGCAGTGGCTATACTTTTTGTTGCCATGATATTTTTTTTTCATATGGTCATCTCATGATAACAATTATTTAATATTGATTATTGATCAGCCCTTCAGTTAGATACATTTTTTAAGATGACAAAAATTTAAAAATAAACAACAAAACAACTTGTCAATGTCATATCATTCGTCAAGGTCAACGTCATTGTCAAATCACGTCAAAACCACGGCCCGGTCGGCACCACTTTGGACTTCGGCAGCCTCCTGCGGCGATACACTCATTTCTTCTGCTTTGAGACAGAAGCTTAATGGCTGGCAACAGAGGCAACACTGTTTCTTGGAATCGATTAAACTTGGATCAAACAGATCGAACGTACTACGTATCCGTCACCGGCTACCTAGGCAGTACATTGTTATTATGAATGAAATGAATGGCAGGGCAGAGGCAAAACATCAAGTAAAACATCTGTAATGTGAGGTCATTGACAAACTTTCATTGTTAAAGAAAATTGAAAATTATCTCAAGAAAAAGACGACTTTCTTCACCATCTTTCGAAGAAAATCAAGATGAGCTTCCTATTGTAAGTATTTTCTTAGTAAATTGCCCATGGCCATGATGTTCTGGAAATATTAGGTAACATAATTAAACTATAAATATAATCCCTCATAATAGTGGAAGTCGTTCATCGAAAACATTCAAGCCCAAAAAGAATATACCTGAAGGAACTCATCAATATGAATTGATGAAACATGCTGCTGCTACACTTGGATCTGGAAACTTGAGACTAGCTGTGATGCTTCCTGAAGGAGAAGACCTTAATGAATGGGTGGCTGTGAATAGTAATATATTCATCATTTTATATTGAAATGAGTGGTGTATCTGAATTATTTGCAGCTGTGGATTTCTTCAATCAAATCAACATGCTTTATGGGACCATAACGGAGTTCTGCACAGAAGATAGTTGTCCAATAATGTCAGCAGGTCCCAAATATGAATACCATTGGGCAGATGGACACACTGTTAAGAAACCAATAAAATGCTCTGCTCCCAAGTATATTGATTATTTAATGACATGGGTGCAAGATCAGTTAGATGATGAAACTTTGTTTCCTTCAAAAATTGGTAAGTGTTATGACATCTTTGTATTATGCAAATAAAGAGTAATTTTCCTGATTCTCAATGTTACACATGAAGTATTATTGCATCATCATAGTCATTATGTTTCATGCTCTGTTTATTTGGTAATTTTCAGGTGTTCCCTTTCCTAAGAATTTTCAGTCTATTGCTAAAACTATTTTGAAGAGGCTGTTCAGAGTATATGCACATATCTATCATCAGCATTTCAGTGAAGTTGTCCAATTAGGTGAAGAAGCACACTTGAATACATCTTTCAAACACTTCATATTTTTTGTTCAGGTGAGTTCTATTGCTTTTAGATCATTAAAAAAAGTAGATATATTGTAACTTAAGACTCTTTTCACTTGCTTTCTACTAATTCTCACAATTATTTATATATAATTGTATTTATTCACTCACACTCTATTCAGTCAATTATTTGATATTGATATCACAGTATAAACCGAGGTATAAACACTGGTTCCTCATTTTATTTTTTCAATTATTTCAACTACCCTTGAGGGTGCTGCCAAATGTCAACAAACATAAAGGACTGTAACATTTTCCCAGCAGTTGAGTATGAGTTCTTGTATTATCTTCTGTTGGGGTCTAGTTGTTTTATTTATTGTGACAAGATTCATGGAAAAGTGTTTTGAACTACTGAAAGTGTGTTGATCAGAAGTTCCCAAACTACAACAACTAATCACTGATATTCAGAATGTTCATTGACTTTTATAATAGGCTGTGTCTTCAGATGTCTTTAAGAGTAATATGTATCTGCAGTTAGATGCAAGGAATAATTTCACAAATATATTATAATAATAATATAATATCATTATTATGGTACACAAACTTCTTTCAAACTTTGAAGGATGATTTCTCACAAACTAGCCTTACAATTTCATCAAAGGAAAGTGCTTAGATTTTTGCAATGACTATTGAAAGGTTTTCACATAGGTCATATTTCTGAAAAGAATGATTTACAATTTTCTCTTTTTTCAAATGGAACATCCTGTACATTCTTGTTTTTTGTTCATTCAATGGACAATTCAGGATATGGTCTTATAGTTTTGAGATACAAAATTGATGTATAGGAATTTTGAGAATTTTTTTCTCAAAACTTTGCTACTGCATTCAGGTTCATCCTTATAGAATCTAATAAATTGAAAATATACAATGGTGCCATTTGAATTTCTCAAGTTGGGTTTGTTTCCAGTGAAATCAGAAGTATAGAGAAAATATGAGATATTGAAAAAAAATTCAATTCTTGGATCCACTACCTTTATCAAGTTATAATTTCATTCATTTGTTTACACCTGTACTATAGAATGAAATATGCAGAACATTGTGGAAGAGTAGCTATAATGATGACAGGAAGAATGCGGAAGCATCTATCAAATTACAATTTTTCTGCAACCAACACAAAAGTCGTCCATTTCAATTCCAAAATTAGCTCTTGAATTGAAGTTTCTATTACGTGTGTATAATCTCTGCTATTACTGACAAAAACATAGGTATGTTGCTAGGCAACACTTTTATTTCCTAGGATGTACTAGGTCATCAAGAATAAACAACATTGTTATGTTGAAAAGGAACATTCTCAGTTATATTTATTAACACAAAACAATGGATATACATTGAGAATTCGCATTCTCCATGTGATGGTTTATTCAACAGAAAACAACTACTTTCCTGGCTATATGCCATGACGAATATTGAATTACATCTATTGAACACACGATAAGAATTTGAAAACAAAATCTTCTGAAGTAGAGAATTTGCATTCTCCTTCATATGAAGATATGCATATAATATAATTCTAAATATTCAACAGAAAACAACTACTTTCCTGGCTATTTGCCACGTCGAACATTGAATTATATCTGTTGACTATCCAAAAAAAGAGAGCATGAAAAATCAAAATCCTCTGAAATTGAGAATTAACATCATCTCTAAAATTGAATAGAACAGAGATTATTATGATAAAATTATAACTCACCGATATGTTCAGTATTGAAATGAAAATTGAAATGTATAGGAGAAGTATACTCGCATGAACTCTGATCTTGATGAGCTTGGAACTTCAAAAAAAAAATCATTCTTATCAGTGATATGGGAATTATATCTCTCACAAACAGCTTATATGGATTCATTTCGGATATCATATCCTCATCAGTAGCCTGAAGTCCAGTTATTCTTTCAGTCATTTTTCATGATATACACAATTTTCATCGCCCTATGATATAACAAAAACTATATGATGAATGCCATGAATTTATCATACATTTAAAAAACATTGTTATGGTTGGTTATTTGGGTTGGGACGCATACCTGATTTGTTTCCGATTTAGGCAGATTTGGCATTTCATATCCATGCTGGAGATACAAATAGACAATATTTTTGTTTTGATCAGGAAAGCCTTCAAGATTCCGTATTTCATTCATTCTCGGGATCTGATTGATTGGATAACTTGTTTTTGAATAATCACGGCTAGCAATACTTTTTTGTCGCACACAACGATATTGTTTACCTTAATTTGATTACCGTGCCAAACACAGTGGAATATGGAGTGAAATGAATAATTATATTATTAATGTTGATATGCTCACTAACCTAGTAGTAGTAGTAGTAGTATTGTGGGGAGGCTGTAGCCAGGCAAGTACGCCCCCATGGGCCCTTTTTGCCAACCCCTGCTCTCCACATATCTACACATCCCTCTTTAAGTTGTCCTTTTCGAACCTTCCCGTCCTTCTGATGAAGGTCAGGATGTCCGTCCACTCTAATTCGGCCAAATCTTCCTGTTGTAGTTTATCTACTCCAAAGATTTCGAATCTCATCCTTCCATACGCCTCACACTCTCCGAGGAAGTGAAGTGATGTCTCCTCATCTTCTCCGCATTCACGGCAAGTGGGACTATCTTCCACACCTATGAGTGATAGGTGTCTGCGTAACCTGTTGTGCCCTGTCAGTACCCCTATAAGAAGGTGCAGAACTTGGCAATCCCTGCCAAGTAACCAAGCCGTCTTTGGCTTGCTTGGACCGGCCACCAGGTCTCTCGATTGCCTGCAGCCGCCTATACGCCTCCAATATCCTTCTAGTGCCTCGTCCGCCCATTTGTTAAGGGCTTCTTGTTATGCCCAGTGCAGGCTCCGGATATTTGTGTGGCAGAATCATCAACGAACAGGAAGTTTCAGATGAGATACAGGCGAAAATGTATTTAATTTAATAAATTTAATTCACCCTGTCCCCCCTACGGTGGTACAAATTCAGAAATATTTTTTTTTTCGAGTTCTTGGAGTATAACTAGATATTTGTGTGGCAGAATCATCAACGAACAGGAAGTTTCCAGATGAGATACAGGCGAAAATGTATTTAATTTAATAAATTTAATTCACCCTGTCCCCCTACGGTGGTACAAATTCCGAAATATTTTTTTTTCAAGTTCTTGGAGTATAACTAGATATTTGTGTGGCAGAATCATCAACGAACAGGAAGTTTCCAGATGAGATACTGGCGAAAATGTATTTAATTTAATAAATTTATTTCACCCTGTCCCCCCTACGGTGGTTCAAATTCCGAAATATTCTTTCTCGAGTTCTTGGAGTATAAAGTATGAATCAATATGCAATGAAAATGAATATCAAGCACTTCCCAAGACCGTGGAAAAGCGATAAATGCCAGCCACACATTTTCAATTCCATATCGCATTCGATTTCCTACACGTCAGAAAACGTGGCTGGCATTTTCGTGGATAACTTCACACTAACCTAAACTTTTTACGCTCTATGAGATGGAATAAAAATAATTTCACGAAATAATTCAGTGACGGCTGAATCTGGGAGTGGTGAAGCGAAAAGTCACCCATATGTGCATTTCTTTCTCAATTTGTAGTTCAAAATCTGAAAAAACATTGGTATCTGCGTGAAAAAGCTCACTTGTGAATTTCTGATGCGTTTCGCCGTTTTCGAGTTAAATTGGTGCAGAAATATTGTAATTAAAACAAGTGTGCTATTATCACTGTTCCATCTTATAAAGCGTAAAAAGTTCAGTATCTGTGAGAAATTTTGTTGATTTATCCCGAACCGTTTCGAACTTTTCATCAAAAAACAATATTCAGACTCGTATTTTCAACACCCTTTATCTCGAAAACGACGCGTTTGAAAATATATGTTCATATGAACAAGTACAACACACTGTTGAATTTTTTTAATTACAAACCGGACCACCCTGTAGAACGGCGAAGCTTTGGAATTCTTTGCCAATGGAAGTATTCCCAAGAACTTATACCCTGATGACATCAAAAATATACAAAAAATCAATTTTTTTAATTTTGACATGTAAAGTGACACTTTTCAAAACTGACGGAAGTTTTGAAACGTCTTACTTTACGTAACCAGTTGCGTAAAGTAAAATTTTACATAACTGGTGATGTAATGTTCATTTCATTTTTGTGAAGAGTAGGCAGAACTCATGTAAAACTGGTCATTATTTTTGTTCATGCGAAATGTTTCGTCGTCAAAATTAGAAAAAATATTGTACGTGACACGTTAGGAAACGCCATTTTGTGTAACTCTGTGATGTTGCGGGATCTCACTTCGCTCGTCCCGCAAAATCCCATCGTTACACAAAACAACGCGTTTCCTAACTGATTACGTAAATATCTATTACATGACTCCAGTTGAATGTTGAGAGTTATCAGCCAGGTCGAAATTGAAAATTCATTCTGACGTTTGTGTTCCATATTTGTTCATTGAATCGGTCAAAGTATGCCGTGCAAATGGAAAAGCGGTTCTCATGGCATTTTGTCTGATCTTTCTGAATCTGATGATATTTTTCGAGAAAAGTGATAACAAAGTGAACTTCTTCAACATAACAATAATAAATAAATTTTTACTAGTCCGGATCTGTATTTTTTCTTCATAATATGCCATCTTGGCTAGTAGAGAAACGTCGCAATTCAATTTCAACCAAATACGATGAATCATTTCACATATTACCCTGTATCTTCGTTATGGATGGCCAAAGATTTTCCATATATATACATAAACTGGTCTTGATTTCCCCTATTCACCAGTTGGCTATGTGAATCTCTTCATGAATCACCCTGTATAATCAGTAGTGATACCACAAGTGATCGAATATTCAGTAGTAATACACTGGGACATTGATAATAGACGAGATAGTTTTATGACAACCGAAAGCTTCAGGCCGATTCATGCAAGGTTCATTATAATTTTATTTTCATTATATTATAAATTAAGAATGTTGAAATCTCATTTCATGGAATGCTTTCATGCAATACATTAACACATTTTCATTACATTTTCATCAATTAGTGCACTAAGAAGTTGACCAACTTTCAACTATTCATTATAATTACATTATAGTTCTAGTGAAAACGACTGATTCGCAACATTGGATCATCGAATGATCATTTTTTCCACGAAACTATTTGTGATTCAACTCAGATATTATATTCAAAATAAATCCATATTCTGAAATAACCTGAACATTTGGAAAATCCAACCAAATCACATAACCTCGAATTATTAAAAAATGTAAAAACTTCACAAACGATATGATTTCCACAAAATTCTTAAACACACAACATGTTTCGCTAACACAGTAGCTTCGTCAGGTGATATACTGGTACAATGAACTAAACCAACGTTGGCTTGCTTAACTTTTATATATCCTACTTTCCCAACTTGAAGAATAAATTACCTGTGGGCAGGATCGATAAACCTCCATTTTCGGAAATAAGGCACAATATCTACATTAAATTACGGTATACCGGATTATCTTGAAAGAGTTGATAGCAAATACATATTATTACTTACTAAGAAAACAAATTCAACAGTGGTGAACTATTGAGGTCTAATCGATCATTAAGTAAAATGTCAAAATTTTTGAGTTTGTTGATATCTATTGATTCAAAATGATTGAGTCTCAGTCCTTTATTTTCTACGTGCAGAATTTCGAAATTATCATCAATACTATGGTTTTCTTCTGATATATGGTTGGCGTATGTTGAATTTGTTTTCTTTTTCATAAAATTCATCTTATGTTCATGAATGCGCTGATTAAACGTACGACCTGTCTGACCGATATATACCTTGGGACAAGATCCACATTTGAGTTTGTATACCCCTGATTTTTCGAATTCAGAAGTTTTGTCTTTATTATTCTTGATAAACCTTCCCAACGTGTTATTTGTTCTATACGCTACTCTCCTGTTTATGTAGAAATGAAGCTAATTTTTTAGTTGATGATCCGAAATAGGTTAAAGTTCTATAATTTTGATTATTATTCTTGATGGTAGGATAAACTTCTTGAATAGCTTTATTATGAAGTTTTTTAGAAAGAATACTGTCTATCAGATTAACGTTGTATCCGTTGTTGACTGCAATCTGTTTTATAATATTGAGTTCTTAATCGAAATTTACTTCTGAAAGACGGACATTCACTAGCCTGTGTATCATACTATTATGTGCTGCAATTTTATGTTGATAAGGGTGTGTTGAATTGTTATGAATAGTGATATCAGTGTGGAAGGTTTATCGATGGAATCAGCTCTTCAAGGAGAATCTGAAAATCCAATAAAATACAGGTTGTTTGATTCAAAATAAGGAAGTTATTAAAAAATCCGGAATAACTGAAAAAGTGGCAACATTGGCTATAACATTTTCAAATCCGCCACGTTTTAAAATAACACTGTACATAAATTCAAGAAAATCTAACAACAGTTTACCGAAATATTCACCTGTTTCCATACATATCAGCGACCCTGTATATTGAAATAATACTAATATTTTCATTTATAGAGCCGACGAGAGGAAATCCCTAAATTCTAGAGAAATAAATTCACAAATTTCTTATTCGTGTGGTTGAGCCAACTTCACTATGACAATTAATTAGCTTTCATTAATAATATATTATTGTTGTTTCAGGAATTTAGTCTCATTGAAAGAAGAGAATTGGCACCCCTGCAAGAACTGATTGACAAGTTGACAGCTAAAGAAACACGATGAATCTCGACGTCTCTAGCTCCGCTCTATTTGACCTCTTCGTGCATTTAATTTGCTTATTTATATCTCAATTCGCGATAGAAAATAACGCGTCGCCCCACCTGACGGCAACATTTGAACACTTCTGAGCGGTTTGTTTATAGGCAGAAACAATAAACAAATGTGAACCAATGAAAACAAAGTGAACAGGCCGCTTTGACAGCTTCCAAATACTCCGATAGATGGCGAACGCTTATTTTCTATCGCGAATACCCGTTGAGTTATTTTGAAGGTAAGTGTTTGCCCTACTGTTGGCACTTGGCCTGGGAAAAAAATCGATTTATCGATAAATATATCGAATAACAATATATAATTTGAAAAATATCGTGTATATCGATATATCGATGGTTATCAATATACCAATATTTCGATATGTCGATAAATCGATAGTTATCGATATATCGATATTTATCGTATTCATCGATATATTGAACTTATCGATATGTTTGGACTTTGATAATCGATATGTGAAATCCAATATCGCCCAGCCCTAGTTGACACGACTCTTGTGATTATCCTAACTCATTTTGAAAACCTTGATTAGAAAATAAAGAGGGAAGGATAAGGAGTATCAACAATGATGGCTGGTGTAATCACTTTGATCATAACCTCTTTATTCTACAGTCATTTACATCGCGTGGATTCGGCCTGTCAAAAAAAAATACAGGGAGCATTGCAGATCTATGGAAATTGAGTTCCAAACCAACTGATAGAAGATACTTATTATAGTCAAACAGCCTACAGGGGATTTTTTTCCTCATCGAATCAACTGATATATTTTTAGTATCTCAGAGGATATACAGGAAGCAAGAAAAAGTGTAAAAATTTTAAATGGAACGCCCTATATATTTTCGCGCCATTAGATAGACATTTCGAATAGCTTTTCGAAAATACCCCACTCAATACATTCATCATCAGTATTTCTGATAATATGGACAGTCTAACCTAAAACAAAAGTGTTTTATCGATCCTCAAATGATTTTTAAGAGTATGCTGTGACAATGAATCTAGGTAATTGATATATCGTTATGATATTCAATACTCATTGACAGTAAGTAATCGCTCAAAGTCAGAATTGAAATATTGATTTTATTTCCGGAAATTAACATTTTCTATCATTATTCAATCTATTCAACATCAAGTTGCAAAAATTTAGTCTTTGATTTCTATAAATCTCTGTCAATTCTTGTACCGTATGGAATTCATAAAGTCTGAATTTATATATTTTCGAAACTTCACGGATGGTCTCCCTTGAATTCTTATGTAGTCCAAAACGTGCGCTTATTTTTTTTGACGAAGTCCTCAATGATTTTTTCGGATTCTCGTCATATCCACATGTTCTTTTTTTTTTTCATTGTAAATTGGAAGTCCTTCTTAACTTTGAGTAAATGTTCTTGATGGTTCGCCTTGATGGAATATGACCATTCGGAAAACGCAATTCACAGCCACATCTTGCAGCGGAAGCGTTTTGATTATTTTTTATGAATAAAGGTACTATTTCTTGCTCTTCTTCATTTGAATTAACCATGATTCAAGAATTGATTATGGAGGAAATCAACAAGAAATGACGAAGGAATGTCATAACAAACCCTCATTATTTTTCCAGTTACTCATGGTTACCTCATGGCATACTATCATACATCTCTCTATCTACAATCATAGAATAGTTGTTATTCATTCAGAAATCAATAGAAACGAATTTCAAGTTCAAACGTCTATATTATGAGAAATACTGAAGATAAGTGTATTGAGTGGGATATTTTCGGTAAGCTCTTCGAAAGGTCCATCTAATGGCACGAAAATATATAGGGCGTTCCATTTAAATTTTTTGCACTTTTTCTTGCTCCCTGTATATCTTCTTAGATACTAAAAATATATCAGTTGATTAGATGAGGAAAAAAATCCCCTGTAAGACAATTATTTAAATTTTATTCTACTGTCAAAAATAATAAAGTTATAGAGGATGGTACTTTATAACGTGTCACCTGGTACATTGTGTCCAGTTTTCGATGCTTTTGCGTGATATCTCAGTTATCTTTGGAGAACCTTGAGGTTTTCGCGGTCCTGTGCCTCTTCTTCGTGAAACTCGAGATGGCTTTCTCAGATTGTGCATAACTGTTTCCGTTTGAGATACAGAGCGATTTTGAAAATTTATACTTTTTGAACTCCCTCTATATCTACGAAGTTTCTTAGCGAAAATGTCAAATTGAAATCTAATCCCATAGAGAATTTTACGCGAAATACAGTGGCGCACTCAATTTTTTTTTTTCGGGGTATAGTTTTGCAGATACGACTCAAACTTATGATTTTTTAACACCCTGTATTTTATAAGCTCTTCAAATTTCCTTTTTTTTTTCGTTTAATATAATATGATGTATAGATATAACATTTTCAAAAATTCTAAAAAATCACTAAAACCTTGAAACTTAACAGTGGACTATAGATTTTTGATATAAAAAAAGTTCCAATTGAAGGAATATTTCTATCGATTTTTCCATGAAGAGAACGAAAACAATATCAACACTAATTAACTAACAAAACACACAAGTTAGATACCTGAAAGCAACAAATAAATAGTAATAAATAGTTCATAATGTAGAATAAGCATTTGATTGAATATTTACTAAAACAATTGAATTTCGAAATTATTCAGTAACTTATTCATTGAATTGTTCAAATTGATGTCCATTTTCCCTAACACACAGTTAACACACTTTCTCAAGGTGCTAAAACAGTAAGAGGCACAACAATCTTGAAGAACTTCGTGCAACAACAGAGGCAGTTTCCATAAATTACAAAGACATCCTTCAATGCTTCTGAATGCATAAGACGTATTGAGAAAGTGTGTGAGAAAAAATGGACATCAATTTGAACAATTGAATGAATAAGTTACTGAATAATTTCGAAATTCAATTGTTTTAGTAAATATTAAATCAGGTGCTTATTCTAAATTATGAACTTTTATTAGTATTTATTTTTTGGTATTGTTTTTGTCCTCTTCATGAAAAATCAAAGGAAATATTCCTTCATTCGGAACTTTTTTATGTGAAAAATCCATCCAATCCGTTTGATATTCAATGTTTTAGTGATTTTGGAGCATTTTTGAAATTCGTATATTCAAACATTATACAGGGTGTCTGTAAAAGGTCTTTACAAAGACATACCACATATTCCTTAGACCAAAATAAGTCGATTTAAGTAAAATTACCTTAGTACAAAGTTGCATCGTTTGGGCTCCAGAGGTCCTTGAAGTTACAATTTTCAAATCGTTTTTCCCATATAAATTTGAAACGGCATATGCGATTTTGCTGAAATTTGGTATATTGATAGAATTTTAGGTGGCAAATAAAATGGTGTTGAAATTTTGTCCGATAATAATACATAGGCGTAGAACTTGATTTTTTAAATATTTGCACCTTTAAAAATTCTACGCCAATGGAAGAAAAGGAGTTTGAGTATAAAATTTAGATTGCGCAACTCATTTACTTTGAAAAAGGTACTCTTGATAAGACTCGATTGCTCCCATGTTTTTGACGAAATTTGCATTTTAGTAATTTTTGAACATTAAAAATAATTATCAAAAACAAACTTTGTCAAAACCATGAAAGTAATTCGAGTGTTATCATGGGTACTTTTTTGTAGTAAATGAGTACCCAATCCAAATTTCATACTCAAATAATTGCACCTTTATAAATTTTACGCCAATGGCAGAAAAGGGGTTTGAGTACAGAATGTATCAAGAAAGCACAGCGACTAGGGAGTTAATTTTTTTAAATCGCATTATTAGATTATACGTTGAATCTTGAACAAGTTGGAGGATTGTTGTTTATCACAAGAGTTGATAATTTTGGAATTATGAACACTCGTGAATTATTATTTCCACTTTTTTTGCACCAGTTCAGTGAGAAAACCTTTACAAATGAAACACAAGCTTTCAACATTTTTTCGTAATGTATAATAAATAAATTTCGGGAAGAGGGGCGACGGACTTTTGATCCTCAAAATAAAATCTCATTGTTGAATATCCATTTGTTTCTAGTCTTTTTATAAAATTCATAACACTGTTTGTTTATTGAAAGGTAAGGTAAAACTGCATTTGTCATGCAATGGGTTTTTGTTCGAAAATTTTTTTTTGTACTCACGTAATTTTGTCTGAAAACACGAATTTGATACTGAAAATGTGAACAAACCACTATGTATCGAGATATTTCAAGAAAAAGTTCGAAATTCCGCCTTCTTTTTCCCTTTGTGTTGGATGCATTTACAGCTACTTGCTCTTCTTATTTTGTCATTGGACACTTTATATACTATGACACATTTTTATATAGAAAATTCAACAGGAAATATGATTTTTATGGCGAGTTCTTCATATTTAATGAACAAGCATACCAAATGACGGCCATTTAACAATAGTCAATCCAAATACGAGATGTCAAATGTCAACAGATTGCTTTTGAATGACATTACACACGCCATTATTTTAAATAATATTTTTTATTCTTCAGTAAATATGGATAAATCACAAGAAAATCATATTTCTAGTTGACTCATATAATAGAAAAAAATGTGTCATGAATTGTGATATATATAAATTGTCCAATGATGAAAAAAGAAGGGCAAATTGTTCTAAAGGTGATCCAGAAGACAGGCGGAAAAGAAGGTGAAATTCGTAACTTTATAGTGAAATATCTTGATAAATAATGGTTTGTTCACATTTTCATTATCAAATTCGTTTTTTTCAGACACAAATACGTAGGTACCAAAAAATTTTTGAAAAAAACCCATCGCATGATAAATGCAGTTTTACCAAAGGTAATAAGGTTATTTCAGTTAAGATCATGCACATTACCCAAATATGTATTATGAGTGGTATGAATTTTCAATGCCGTAAAGACAATATTCATTATATTCTCCTATATTCTTGGTGCTCTCAAAGATGAAATTGGAAATTCAATCATGGAATG